GAAGCAAAACACTAATAAGATAGCACACTGAAATGATAAAATTGAACTATGTAATGATAAAGTAGCAAAGTGGCACACTGTAATGGAGATATACAACACTGTAATTTGGATTAGGTTATACACCTAACAAAAATGCTGGCAATCTCAGCAAATATTGGGAGAAATATTTTCCACCAACATATATTGAAATAAAATAGTAAAGAATTCCTGTGTACAAATTTAAGTACTAAAAAAATTCAGCGCTCTTGAGACAAAAGCGGCCAGAAAAGCAGGTGAGAGCAAACCATCACGTGTGACCAGCAAACAAAGCACTCAGTTCCCAGCTAAATCATCTCTTAACTAATTCACGCACTATAATTTCCTCTCCAAGCTCACAGCTCGTTTTCTTTCCCCGAAATTTTCATGACTGAGATCCGAGGAAAAAATGTTACTATATTAAATTGTTGTTGGCTTTTAAACTTTGGTCTTGTAAGTCATACCCCAACATTTAATTTTTTTAAAAACTAAATTATAATTGTAATTATGGTCCTCGTGACTTGCTTGGCATGACTGCAGGAGACAATAGAAGTCCGTGTTTGTCAGCCGTAGGGGAGTGGAGTACCTCTGCTAGTTCTGTCATGGTAGCTACCAATCGGTATAACTCTTCAGTCTGTCAGCCTTGGCATGTGAGCGAGATGACAGAACGGTGCCGAAATAGAACACTCATGTGTTTATCTAAATTGCAGAGGAAGAGAGATAGATAAGGACCGGCGCAATCTGAGCGTATCCTCAACACATGATAATACACATATGGACTGTAAAGTATATGTAGAGAGTGGACTAAGGTGCTACAAAATGCTCACTTCATGAACTGCTCGTATGTTATGGGTCCGAGAAAGAAGGCAACAACTTGTTCTACACTAGGCTTAGTATTATACAAATATGTTCTACACTAGGCTTAGTATTATACAAATATGTTCTACACTAGGCTTAGTATTATACAAATATGTTCTACACTAGGCTTAGTATTATACAAATATGTTCTACACTAGGCTTAGTATTATACAAATATGTTCTACACTAGGCTTAGTATTATACAAATATGTTCTACACTAGGCTTAGTATTATACAAATATGTTCTACACTAAGCTTAGTATTATACAAATATGTACTACATTAGGCTTAGTATTATACAAATATGTACTACACTAGGCTTAGTATTATACAAATATGTACTACACTAGGCTTAGTATTATACAAATATGTACTACATTAGGCTTAGTATTATACAAATATGTTCTACACTAGGCTTAGTATTATACAAATATGTACTACACTAGGCTTAGTATTATACAAATATGTACTACACTAGGCTTAGTATTATACAAATATGTACTACACTAGGCTTAAGACTGCGCATGTTAGGCCGTGGATTGTTTATCTTGTGCCTAGGGAAGGTTAGGCATTCAAGAGGAATTTGAAAATAGCGTAATGACGGGCAGGTGTATACACATAAACACGATTGAGTAATTACTTATTCCTACCTAACAATCACTGCATTCCGCCTTGTAGTATATTTCCTCAATGTCAGCTTCACATACAACATATTTCGTTGTAAGTAGGTGGATTTCCTGAATTTAAAACCTACGAAATTTCCAAAAAACTCTGGATATCCCGCTGGCATTTATTAGTATAGAAGTTAAAAATACAGCGTACGTAGAGAGGATAACATGACATCTAAAAAGAAAGACTAAAAATTCATCTGATTAAACAGACAAAAAACTCTCAGACAAAAACAATTTTTTTTGTATATAGAATATAATATTAAGTGGATGGGACAGGAAAGGCCTGTGATTACACTGTCTCACTGAAAACCAGCTCCAGCCACTTGATTGAGAAGATACCTGCCCTTTATTGTAAAATTTATTGTCAAAATTGTATTGTTCCTCTTAATCATACGTCAAGAAGAATTCTCCAGTTTTTAAACTCATGTAAAGATTTACTTTCCAAAATCAAATGAACCCAAATTTAATGTTAAAATACTCAGTGAATCAGACTCCTTCACTATATACTGTATGAGCATACTTACTCCATGTCTTGTGGATTATTCCAATAGTATTAAACATGAACACTTTTGGGTACAGCAGACCATTTGTGTACATTTTTGGTTGCTATAATTACTATAATTTTTAGAGAGCATTGTAAACTTCTATTTTCTCATTTCTATTTCTAGTTACCTTATCTCTATTTTTTTCTTTTATCCCTATTTATCTTCTGTATCTCGTTTCTTCTCTTCTTTTTTCTATCATTTCTACTCAATATTTCACAAACACTGTTACAGCTACACACACACACACACACCTTTCTTCACTCTCTCATAGTAATAAAATATTAGTAGACCGGACGGAGGTGTGCTTGTGACTGTAGTGAAGACGCCTGATATAGGTGCTGACCTGCCCTTCACCCCCTCCCCTTATCCCTGGTGTGTTTATCTTATCAAACACTAACACGCATTGGCTGTCCCTGGAGGAGGGTTTAGTCATTATTATGCACCCCATACCCATCCCGTGGGCGCTGGTGGGGAAGCTTTACAGAGGTACTAGAGGTGTACTGATGTATTTGGTCGTATTTTTTCAGTATTGTTATTGGTAATGTTTCAGCCGACACTTCGGTACATCATTGTTTTATACAAGTTGGTACAGGTGCAGATATCTTCTGATACATATTAGCAAACTGAGAGCTCTCCCTCTTAGGGTGAACAGTGGAGGTTCGGTAACTAATCGTCTAAAACTGGCCAGAGGAATGAGTTTTGTCAGGAGGAAAGACTAAGGGAATTAAACCTTGCGTCAGTGGGAAAACAGAAGAGTGGCCAACGCAGTCGGTTCACAACCGAAAAGTCCCAGGTTCCATTAACGCCCAGGACGGAGACGTTTTAGCACCCCTAATGCCTCTGTTCACCTAACAAAATAAGCACCTGGGAGTTATGTAACATTGATGAGTTGCACATCATATGGAAGGTCCTCTCTCAGTTTATCTGGTAATCATGTCGCCCCCTAGCTCTTCTGTCTTCCAGCGACGTGAGGTTTAGCTCCCGTAGTTTCTCATATCTCATACCCTATAAAGTACTAGTCTGGTACTCAATTGTGTTTCGGCTCTTTCTTCCCGACTACCTTTGGTACCTGATATAAAGGTATGGTGGCCTACCATTAAACCTTCTTCAATTTAATCTTTTGCTTGACTAGATACGGACTCCACGCTGGAGCTGCATACTACAGGATTGGTCTGACATGTGGTATGACTCCTTAAACAAGTTTCTAAAGACATTCTTATGTTGACTAACCTGGCATATGCCACTGATGATGTCCTCTTGATGTCTAGGGGACAGGTCTGGCCTGATATCAATACCCAAATCTTTTTCTGTACCTCATTCTTGAAGAATTTCATCCCCCAAATGGTACCTGGTATGTGGCCTCCTGCTCCCTACACCTATCTTCATTACTTCACATTTGCTTGGGTTACTCTCTAATAGCCATTTGTTAGATCATTCCTTCAGTTTGTCTAGGTCATCTTGCTATTCTCCCCTGTCTTAATCCTTCTCATAATTTTGGCATCAGCCAACATTGAAAAGAATGAGTCTATACCCTCTGGATGATCACTTACATATATCAGAAACAAGATAGGTTCGAGTACAGAACCCTGTGGGACTCCGCTGGTAACATCACTCCATTCCGAGGCCTCACCCTTCACAGTAACTCTCTACGTCCTATTGCTTAGGTACTCCCTTATCCACCGAGTATCCTACCAGTTACTCTTGCCTGAATCTCCAATTTATGCAGCAGCCTCTTATAGGGTACTGTGTCAAAGGCTTTCCAACTCTCCAAGAAAATGCAGTCTGCTCACTCTTCTCTTTCTTGCTTAATTTTTATCACCTGTCTGGAGAGGAGACGATAAAGGAATCAAATATTATATACATGGAAGTTACTGGAGGGCCAAGTCCCAAATTTTCACCGTAGAATAACGGCATACTGGAGCGAAAGATACAGAATGAAATGCAGAATAGAACCAACGATGAGTAGAGGGACTATAGGCACAATAAAAGAGCACTGTCTTAACGTCAGAGGTCCACAGCTGTTCAACACCTTCCCAGCAAGCATTAGAAATATTGCAGGACTGAAGGTGGATGTATTCGAGAGGCACTTGGACAGGTTATTGCAAGAAGTGCCGGACCAACCATGCTGTAGTGGATATGTGGGCCTGCGGATCGCCTCAAGCAACAGCCTGCTGGACCAAGTTAGTACAAGTCGAGCTTGGCCTCAGGTCAGGCTAGGGGAGTAAAAGAACTCGTGAAACCCTCTCCATGTATGCTCCAGGTATGCTGTAGGATTCTATTTAAAATGTGAGACATTTTTTGCCATCCCTGAACCCATGTTGGTGGTGAGTCACGAAGTCCCTTCTCTCCAGATGTGCTACTAGGTATTTGTTCACGATCTTCTCCATCACCTTGCATGGTATACAAGTTAGGGGCACTGGCCTGTAGTTCCCTCTTGCCTGTCGCCCTTTTTGTATATTGGGACTACGTTAGCTGTCTGTAGCTAATGCACACACTAGCTGCAGTGTGTACATTGGGAGTGCTCATAATTGAGAAGCACTGGAAATGCTTCAGAGGTAACATGTTCTTACTGAGATACAGTGGCCTGCCCTGTTGTCTCTGCGAGGTGCGGCTTTACACCAGTCATATAATTCACATTATTCCCTTCAGGAACCAACATATACCAGTCAGGTATTCCAAGTTCCCCATTCATGGACCGTGTAATTCTTACAGTGTCCCCCGCCAGGTTTTACTTGTGTAACATATGTAATACTGTAGTTATGAAGTACGTTACAGGTCTCTGAAATACAGTTATCTGGTACGGAGGTATTAAGGTGACAGGTGTATGTGTAACAAGTGTCTGCCTCACAGGTAAACACTAGTGAGCGGAGAGATACATGCCTTGTAATGCTCCATGAAATTCTTCCACCAGGAACTCAAGCTGCTGACAGAGAGCTTGAAGACCCGACCCGACTACTGTTGTCTAGAAGGCGAGAAAGATGTTAACAGGCGCAAGAACAGATATAAAGACATCCTACCATGTAAGTACCTCTCTTTTTGGTTTTCAGACATTTACACAACCACTTTTTTTCTTTTTAACTTATGAAACCTGTTCATCTTTCCCTTAATCATGGCGGCATTGTTTGTGTTTATTCAACAGTTTGAAAGCTTCGAAAGTTAAGTGTTGTTGTAAACAACCTCGTATGGTGCTTCAGAGCTCATAAATTGTTTAATAAATGTAAACAAACCCGCCATAGATTGAGGGAAAGATACACAGGTTTCGTAAGTGGCTGCGAGGTTACTTCATGAATTTTCACTCTAACGTTTAGTTCCCTTTATTAGTACTCTCGTGGGTATTAATGATCCCCTGGGTATTATTGTCCTTGTGGGTATTATTGTCCTCATTGGTAATATTGTATTTTATATGAAATACTGAGGCTTTAGTACGATTCAGTTTTCCATGAAACCCCGGAACACATGGAGATCAATGATCCAAACGAATTCTTCATGAATGTGACACCATCATGGAACCATATCAGAGGTCTCCTAGATCCCACTGGACTTTAGAGTAGCCATAGACATCATGCCCATGCACCAGGCCCAGACTCCTGGAATCCTATATTCATCAAGAAATGCAAAACACCACTATCACGGGCCCTAAACATCTTTTGGAGACGGTGCTTAGATACCGGGGTCATCCCTGATATATTTAAAGTAGCAGAGACCGCCTAACTTCACAAAGGAGGTAGTAAAGCAGTCACAGTTGATTATAGACCAATAGCTTTAATTTCACACATCATAAAAAGCTTTGAAAGAGTGCTAAGAAGATTACAAATCACGGAATCCCAACATCTACATAGCCTCGGGCAGCACGGGTTCAGAACAGGGCGCTCCTGCCTCTCACAATTGTTAGATCACTATGACATGGCCTTAGTTGTCATGGAAGAGAAGCAAAACGCTGATGTAATATACACAGACTTTGCAAAAGCTTTCGACAAATAAGACTGAGCGGATTTTGTGCGCAAAAACACCAGAGGGAATTACTGGCAAAGTTGGGAGATGTATTTTTAACTTCCTAATGAAGAGAACGTTTAACTTCCTAATGATGATAAGTGTAATAGTCAACCAAGTAAAATCCGGATCATCCACTGGAAAAAGCTCAGTCCCGAAAAGTACCATATTTACTCCGGTACTTTTTCCCATCCTCATATGAGACATAGACAAGTGTACAAATTATAGTACAGTGTATTTGTAGATGACACTAGTATTTTCATGCGTGTAGGCAATATAGAGGACATGGAGTTTACATCCAATCTGATGTGAATCGGGTCTTTCATTGGGCCTCAGATAATAATAAGATGTTTAATGAAGATAAGTTCCAGCTTCTGCGCTATGAAAAAAAACGAAAATATAAAAACGGAAAACAACGCAATCAGATCACACTTTAGAACGAAAAATCAGTGCAAAGGATCTAGGAGTAATGATGTGGGAAGACCTTACCTCTACAGAACACAATAAAGCAGCTGTCACGACTGCATGAAAAATGAGAGGTTGGATAACAAGGACCTTCCGAACAAGGAATGTCATAGCAATTATGATAATTTTCAAGACAATAGACAATATTCCTCTCGGGTGGAATATTGCTCCACACTAACATCCCCATTCAGAGCCCGAGAACTTGCTGACCTAGAGAGCGTCCAAAGATCATAGAAACAACTCTATTGAACATCTAAATTATTGGGACGGATTAAAGTTTTAAATCTGTACTCTCTAGAGCGATGGCGAGGATACAAAATAATTTACATGAGGAAAATATTAAAAGGGACGGGTTCCAAATCTGTACAAAAAATAACTTCACATGATACCAGTGGGCATGGCGGGATGTGCAAAATAGCCCCATTGAAATGCAACTGTGCAATAGGTATGCTGAGGGAGAACTCTTATCAACATCAGGGGCCCAAGACTTTACAACATTCTCTTTTAAACACACATTAGGGTCATAACTGGCCAGTCTGTCACAGTCCTCAAGAGAGAACTTGATGAACACCTCTAGATGATACCTGATCAACCAGGCTGTGATTCATACGTCAGGCCGCTAGTAGCTGCCTGGTTGACCAGACGACCAACCGGGAGGTCTGGTCAGAGACCGGGCCGCGGGGACGTTGATCCTCGGAACCACTACAAGATAGGTAGCTACAGTACCAACCCCAGTACATATGCCCACTTCACTTATAAACTATGTGACCATGAGAGACGACACACTTCAACATTACATTATGCTACATTATGCCGAGTTGAGTTTTCCTAAAAGGTATGAGATACCTGCAGCTTACAAACTTTATTTAATTCACTTAACGGTACCAGAAGATATCAAAGTCCACTTGAAGTTTATTAGGGCAGGTAAGTACATTGATTTACCTTATGCTTCTCTCCCTCCCTCTCTCCCTCTCTCTGCTGAGAGAGAGAGAGGGGGAGACATACATGTCAGAGGCTGCCGAGACTGGGTTCTATATATAATCATAAAGTGGAACCTTGCGGGTCCAGGCCTTTGTATATAAATAAGGAAATGCTTCAGCACGGAAAGACGAGAAGTCTTTGTGAATACGTGCGTGTGTTTCCGCTTATCTTTACTCATACATCAGTTCTCAACTGTCTGTGGTTGCGAGGGTTGATATTCAGCTCTTGGGTCCCTCCTTTTAATGTTCATTGGGCTGCAGGTGTTCTCTAACCCTTGGGGGGTTTTGTCGTATTTACAATTGTAATCTTCGTATGAAGTTAGTCATTATGTAGTGAATTACACTTTTCCACGGCCCTGACGCCAAAGGGAGACTTTCTATGGTTCATTTGGTTGCTTTGCAGTCGTGTATCCCTATGTTGTGGTGTCTTCCTTGCTGGTATATCTGTCTCGCATATTGATATACCTGAGTTGTGTGTGAGGTGACGTGTGCCCCGTGGGCGGGCACGAGCACACGTGGGCACTGCAACGTAATCATAGGGTATCATGATGCATTAAACGAGCAAAAAAATCGATGTTTTCAAGATGACTAAGCGACCATTAAGCCGGATGTTGGGAGATTAGTGTGGCACGAGTGTGGGAAGGTGTCTGTTGTGCGGGTGCCAAGTGACTCCCTCACACTCTCCAGGTAATTACTCCCTCAAGTGCCTCTCGTCTACTTGGCACCGCCAGTGTGACCGCCGTTTACCCCGTCCAGGGCCTACCGTCTGTCTCATAGTCATATTTTGCTTACTTTATAGTTACCTTGAGGTGGTTCCGAAGACCAACGTCCCGTGGCCCGGTCTCTGATCGGGCCTCCTAGTTGGTAATCTGGTCAACCATTCAGTTGGACGCAGGTGTTTGCAGTCTGACGTAAGATTCACTGTCCAGAGTGTCAGTTATCTTTGGGTGTATTTATCAAGTTCTCTCTTGAACACTGTTGAGAGGTCGGCCAGTTATGCCCCGTATGTGTAAAGAAAGTGTTGAACAGACTTGGAGCCCTTGATGTTGATAGAATGTCTCTGAGCTCACCTATTGGGCCTCATCAACGGAGCTGTTTTGCACATCCTGCTGTGCTTCCTGGTCTCATGTGTGTTTAGTTCCTTGTGGAGATTTGAAACCAGTCCCACAAATGTTTTCCCAAGTGTAGATTATTATATATCACTCTCGCCTAGGCCCTAAAGAGTGCAGACTAAACATTTCTAAGCTGTCCTAATAATTTGGATGTTTTATTGAGTGGATTCAATCAGTATAAACTTGCACGTTCTTCAGGTCAGGATTTTCCTCAACTTGTTAAACTATAAGGTGTGAAGGATAGATGAAATTGTTTATGTAATAATCTCAGATGAGGTCTGATAAAGACCTTTTGTGCCCTCTGTAATGCTTTTTGCGCTACCGCTCACAAGATGAGTATGGGGTGCACAATAAACTAGCCGCCTCCGACGGCAACAATCATCATTGTTAAATGGGGCTGTTAGTGCACAATAGTAGTCCACTCTAGAGAGCACTAGTGTTTTAAAAAGAATCATTATTGGTATGGCATCTCTTTTTGAAATGTTCTTGTTATCCAACCTGTCATTTTTCTTGCAGTCGTGACGGCTACTTTATTGTGTTCTTTATCAAAAGAAGGCACCAAACTATGGTGTTCTTTAAAAGTATGGTCTTCCGACATGATTAATCCCAAATCTTTGATATTGCTTTCTCGTTCTGTGGTTTAGATTGACTGTGATTGATATTTTCATTTTCACTTGAGCGCATGAGCTGCAGCTCATCTTCGTTAATCATGTTATTTGTTGTGGTCCATTGAAACACCTCGTGAAGGCAGATACCCAGTCGAAGGCCTGCCACTTATGTAGCTGTGCAACCCATCCTCCTGTTTACATAGGACTTTTTGCTGCTATGTGGACCACCGTACGTTCATAGACGTACTGGGCAATTAGATACTGGAATTTGTCACTATTTACTTTACCTGGTTGATACCTGGTTGATGGGGTTGTGGGAGTTCTTCTACTCCCCAAGCCCGGCCCGAGGCCAGGCTTGACTTGTGAGAGTTTGGTCCACCAGGCTGTTGCTTGGAGCGGCCCGCAGGCCCACATACCCACCACAGCCCGGTTGGTCCGGCACTCCTTGGAGGACTTTATAGTCAACAAAAATAGAGCTACTGGGCGGTGACACTGTCAAGCAGTAACCAAGATAAAGAAAAGGGCTGATTTCTCTATCTGGGCTGACGTCTTAAGACTGAAGGACATCAAAAGTCAGCAGCAGAGGAATCTTCAGGTGTGGATGTCAAAGGAGCCAGGTGTGGGAATCACTAGGCGAACCAGAAGTTGTCAATCAGGTGTGGGAGTCGTCAGGGGGGAGGATTATCAGGTGAGTTTAGTATGGATTTCATCAGATGAGTCAGGTATGGATTTCTTCAGGTGACTCGGGTATGTATATCATCATGCGAGTCAGGTATGGGTGTCATTAGATGAAGTCAGGTATGGATGTCAACAGGTGAGTTAGGCATGGGTGTTATGGGTGTTATGTGAGTCAGGTGTGGAAGTC